TAAGTTCAGAATTTAGGTACACCTTTTAATCTATATGTCAGAAACACTTGTGTTTTCCTTCGTCACTGTAGGTGCTAAATATGACTGTCATCTTAGTGGTGCTTCTGCTTTCCTATCATGGATTTTGCTTCTTTTTTAAACTTAAAACTGTTTATAAAAAATATTTTTAGGGAATGAAATAATACAGACTATATTTTATCCTGTTGTCAATCCATGATTTTTTAACTGAAAAAAAAAAAAGAGAGAGAATTTGATTTACATTTCCTACGTTTTCCACACCATAATTGCTTGAACTTAAAACAAGCTTATAGATGCATATTTTGCATGGTATCATATTTGCCTCCTTGATTGTGTTTGATAGTTCTCTGAAGGTGTCCTTCACTGCCATGGAAATCATGATGTACTCTGTTTTCAAGCTAGCAGCCATATATAACAGAAAATTCAGTTCCTTGAGGTGTAAATCGCTCATACACTTCATATTAGGTGCCAATTCATAGTTGTCCAGTGTACCTGGAATGCTAATTATAACAGCAATAAAAATAGTCTGTACCTCTGGAACCTGCAGGGTGAGAACAGGTGAGTTTATGTACAAAGTATTTGCCAACCAGGATCTTAATCATTTATTAACAGATTAAAAAAATTAGCCTTTGCACCTTTTAGCATAAAATTAATAATAAATTCTTAGCTCCTGAATAGAGTGCATTTTTATTTTCTGTTCAGTTGCTGAAGGACAGTTAATTTTTAAATGTATTCCTTGACAGTGTGATGTGCCTAATTGGGCAGGCTGTAGGCAGCCTGAATATGAATTTTGTGAACTGAGAGCCACAAAAAGAAACTGCAGAAAACCTGCTTAACACAACACTAGATCATCTGTTAGTCCTTAAAAATATCTTTTTAACTGGCAGCAGTATTGTGCTCGGGATCACAAAAATAAAATGGACAATACTTGCTAAAAGAGAGCCAGACATGGGGTTTTTTTATTTCCTAAATAAGGGTTCATTTTCCTGTTTCTTCCATGATGTCCTCGCAATTCTGCTCCACTGGTAGATAAAAGAGGGGTTGCAAAAAGCCCTCCAGGCTGTGGAGTTCTGCTCTCTGTACCTGTCATCCTCACAAATATTTTAAATATGATGCTGTTCCAACTGTTTTCCGGTTTTCAGCTTTCAGAGAAAGCATTTGGAAAAAAGAGGCTGAGGAACGCTGTGGGTGGACTTAATTGGCACAAGCTGCTTCTGGATTTGGATTGCAACGGAAATCCTGCAAGTTACATTTTATAGGAAAAAATGTTGTAATCTTAACAAGAGATTATAGCACCAGGAGTAGGTTCTGTCTTGCATTTAATACCTAAATATTACAGAGCAAAGAAAGCTTCCTCCTTGAATTTGTCACTGGACAGAAATAATGTCTGTGAAAGATGTTCTGTTCTAAGATCCATCTTTGAAGCCATCAGATCCAGAAGTTTCTCCTTTTCCACTTAATCTTGTCTGTTAATGTAAATATTTTTATGCTGTTCTAGTTAAAAATCTACACTACATAAACAGATAGCTTTGCCAAAGACTTTTTTTAAGTGCAAACTGTAAATGGGATTTACAGGGCCAGGCTTAAATACATAGATGAGAATAGTGCATTTATCAGGAGGAGTTCCAGTTCATTAGACAAGTAGATTGTTCTTTGCTGGAAGCAATTAAAAATGTAGCTCCACACCTCCCTCTGCTAAAACAAACAAAAAAAGGCAAACACAAACCAGCAGTGTGTTCCCTTTTCTTGCCTTTTTTCCCCTCTGAATCGTGTGTGCTGAAGAGTCTTAACTTCACAAAGTGTTTCAGACTGTGCAGTAGAAAATGAACCACGGATGAGATTCTGAACATCAGTGTTTGAACACCCAGGGTTCCCTGATGATAATTGCTTTAGTTTTGGGCTACATTAAAAACAGGAGCATTAAAACACTTAAATTAAACTATATGAAACTAATACTGGACTTCAAAAAACAGATTCCAATGAGACTGATAGTGGATGATAATTGACTATATCTTTGGAAACCAGGACTAGGGAACTATTCAAAGATCTCTCAAGGAAATAAAAGATTTCTGAATACAGCTTTAAAGCAAAGGCTGTATGCACATAAAGCTTATATACAAATTAACCACTTACAGCTGTCCTGTTGAAAATAAAACTCTCCTCCTCTGACTCTCTTAATTATTAATTTGAACCTGTTTTGCCTTAGAGTGTTTTCTCCCGCTCCTTATCTCAACTCATGGGCTCCACTGATTTTTGTTTTCCTGTTGCCTCTGCGCAGCTCTGGCAGCAGAGAGCCAGTGAATGGCTTTTGTGGGTTGTTGTTTGGCATTTGGCCAGTGTCCAGCCACAGCAGTTCTATATCTGAGCACAGATGCTACAAGGCAAAACACATCCCTGAAAAGGAGTGGGGCTGTCCTGTGTGAGTGATCTCACACTGCAGCTGCCCTTGAGAAAACCATTCTGCAGCCCAGGTGGGAGCTAAACCAATAAACCCTTAAAATTGCTGTTGGATTATACAGGTTAAACTTGTTCTCTAACCTTCTTGGAATGTGTGGCAGTAAACAGGAGTGTTTTACAGCCTCCTGAAAGCTTCATAAGAGATCTGTCAGTCCATCCTGGGGCTTGGTATGTGATACCCTGTAACACAGCATCAGCAAAAAAAGCTCAGTTGTCTGAAGTTTTTTTGTTTAAATTAACATTTTTAGCTCCCTCAAGACTAAGCCATTATCAGAGGGAAGTTAAATATAGGTTCAAAATAAATGATGTAAGCTATTTAAATAAGTTGCTTAACATTAAATATATTTAAATGCAGTTTGACCATTACCTTTCTTCCTGGTGTAGGAAAATCTCTACATTTACTGCACAGGAGCACAGCTTTAGCAGGGATGAGAATATAGGCAAACTAGCTGCTGTAAATATTTCCAGAATCTTTGTTTTTCTTTTGGGGAATTAGGAGGATTTTTAAGTTATACCTAGAGTTGCTCAAATTTCAATTCAATTCCTGAACGTCTTTTGAATTGAATTTTTTCTTTGAAATGATATATTAATTTCATGTATGAAAATGAATCATAAGTATAGAATTATGGAATCTGATATCTGGGGCATTTAGAAAAGTTTAAATTCTACAGTAACACTTGCAGACTGGTGTTGGACAACTTAAATGCTAATAATGTGGGAAATTTCTTCAGAGTGAATTTAGAATGCTTCAGCATTGTTACAGTAATGTCACATTCCATCCTTTTCAGTTTTCATTTGGTTATTTTGGAGATCACTTAAGTGAAAATCACAAAAGCCAATGCAAAGTGTAGAAAAATGTGTGACAGTCATGCTAAGAAAAAGTGTACATATAGACAATTTAATGAAGTTATGGATGGTTCAGTATTCTTCTAGTAAAAATGTGATGAGTGCAGAGTGAAAGAAGATATTTTTCTGGAGAAATAATATCTTGAACCATCACCTTTACATATATTTTAAATTTCAGCCATGTTCATGTACCACTCCTTCAAAGAAACTTCATCTCACTGTCTTGCTGAAGAATTTAGTTATGTAGCATTTTCTTGCATCGAACTAGCAATGGAAATGTCATTCCAAGGAGATGTGGAAGGAGAGGACAAAAAACCCAAATAAATATATGGACACAGCTGTTGTGTAAGTTCCATATTCTCTGAGCAGGTTTAATTCACATTTCTTAGTGCTGCTCAAGAAGCATTTATGTCCCTGGGAACCTGATAAAAATAAGAACCTCCCAGTGAAGTTCCATTTAGCTCCATCCAGAAAACACAGCAGGTGTGGCTGCCAGCAGAGCCATCTGCTGCAGGAGGAGTTCGTGTCTGAGAAAGGGAAGTCTGGAGGAAGTGAGCTGGGCATTTGTTGTCAGCGTTTGCTTTTTATATCTGCTTGTTAGCTTAGCTGCATTTCAGCAGTTCAGAAGGATTTTCTCAACAGCAAACACAAATTTGACTGAAATGTGATATGCTTAGCACTTTATTTGCATTTGCTGTGTTGTAAATTTAGCTGTTTCTTCCCTCCCCATGTAATTTGCATTGTGATATAGTCAGAAAAGAGATGTTTTTAAATTTATTTGAAATATTATAGTGGGAAGAGACAGAAACGTTAATATTTGCACTTGGTAATGCTTTCCCTTATATATTACACTGTATCTTTGAAAAATAACTCATCTCTCCATAGTTCCCATAAAGACTCAGAAAAGGGTGAACTTGTGAAGGCAGTGATGTTTATTTATGATTCCAAGTCATGTAAAGATGAAGTAGCTATGGAATCAGTGTCCAAATGCAGGTATGGCATACAGCTGTTGTTTTTCTTTTAGTTTGTCCTTTGGCCATGTCACAAGAACGTCAGGACCTTGTCTTGATCAAGAGTTGACTGAGTGTGGTGAGCCCTGGCAAACATGATGATTTAAACAGGAACCAAATGTGATAAGCATTGGTATGGCCTGCAGATCAATAAAAATTACAGCTACTGACCTCAGATGCTGAAATAATAGATGAAAATCAAACAAACAAAAAATAACTTTTTTAACTGCTTTGGCTTTCTTATCTTAGGTTACAAACATGGCACGCTGTTCTTACCCAATACATTCATCACACCTATTTTGCTAATGCTTGTATTATTACACATTTTATTGTTATATCAGCTATACTCCATCTGGCATTGTGTAATAATTATGTTCCTATTCTTTTATTACGCTTTTCTGTGGTTTGTGGCAGCTCTTCTATTATTCATAAAAATGGCAGCTAGTAAATGTTCTTGCTCACTCAGAATCAGGACATCATTTCAATGCATAAAACCTCTATTCATCTGTATTAGGGAAAAATAGGTTCTACAGGTGAGCAAGGGGACATAGTCCCCTTGAAATCGTTACAGGGTGTTGGAATAAATTAAACTTGGATGAGGAAAGATACGTTTAAAGTTGCATTGAGAAATGTTTTTAAATTTTCTCATGCTTTTATTCTTTGTGTTAGACAGGGCTATGAAGACCTGGAAAGACAGCTGAAAGAAGTCTTTAAGGAGAGGAGCAACATACTTCATCAACTGTTAAAGACTTCTAAAGAACTTCAGGGAATTAAAGTAAACCTCCAGGTTAGACTCTGGCTCAGTTTCTAGAAGATTACTTACTTACCTCAACGTTTTTTTTTTATCGGTGTCTTTTAATTATCCAAAAATGTGCTTCTTTTTAAAAATTATTAAATATGTGTGTAATTATTATTTTGTTTGTTTTGCTGATCTTTCACTTAGCATAAACCTGATGGCTTCATGGAAAATTTCATACTAATGTTTTGGGGCCTTTGTCAACTCAATAAAGATAAAGAAAATATGAAAATAGAACATAGGGAAAAGGAAGGGAATGACAAGAAATATGCAGTATTAATGGAGGTGACACACATTTGAAGCACAGACAGACAACCCTTCAACTAATTAAAGTTTAAAAGAAGGATATTTTATTGCAGTGCTGGACAGATGTGGAATAATTTCCAAATACATGTGCAAGGAGTTGCAGATTTTTGCCCTCTATTTATACAGGGAAGGTTTTACATACCCAAGTGCTTTCTAAGGAGGCATAACACATAATCATTACCTGCCCTCTTTGTGTTGGAATCAGCTGAAAATCCATTGTGGCTGCTCAGTGGTGCTCCCTTAACTGGGTTTTTGAAGCAGGGGAGGAAGAAAGCCATCTTCCTCATGGTGAGCTCTTCACCCATGGCCAGCTGGCAGCACCTTTTGCTGCTCATGGTCCAAGCCTCTCTGAACTGTTGGATTATTCTTGAGGCAAGGTATTTCTGTGGTCTCTGTTTTTTCACAGTTGCTTCATCTATCCCTGTCACTTCTAGCTCCTCTTTCTCAATATATTTGTTACCCTTTAACTAAGGTATGTGATTTCTTCTAGCTGACTTAAGTTTCTTAATTAATTTTAATATCTTAACTAAAATATGCAATCTTCTGCTGTCCCAATTATATTTCCAGCTGGCCTCTTGACTCACATTTGTACGGGCAGCTGCTGCAAATGATGGCCTTTGCTGTTGCAGGTTGGATCTTTGCTGCTGAATTCCATATACTCGATTTAGTTGCTCAGTTTACCTTTGTGACCTGCCATCTACGAAGTCTGGCTGGATTTACTGCAGGGCATTGCTTTACAAGTTCAGCTGACAAACTCTGCTAGATGAGCTTGTGGGGAGAGCTGAGGCTTCTCTCCATTTTTTACTTCTGGATGCCGTGGTGAGGCTGAAAGGGCAGGAAAATAACTCTGAACTCACATCAGCTCCTCAGAGGAAAAACTAGATTGATGATTGATTGATTGATTGATTGATGCTTCCCCAAGTCCAGATACTCAGCTGAGGGAGCACCTGGCTTTTCCCTGTAGACTCTGTTGGCCTGGTGAAAACATTTAGACTATTACCAATTGAAATGGGTCTCTGTATTTCCTGCCCTTTTAAAGGAAATTATTTTTCTGACAATGCATCTCTGTCTTCGTTGATGTAGGCTAGCTGGGAAAAATAAAAGGAGAAGAAGCGCTCTGTCTATTCACAGGAAAATACTAGTGGTGTGTGTGCACCACTGCTGTGCTGTATCATTGTGTTATGTTATATTTTCTTATGTTCCAGACTTCTCTGGTTTTAATTATTCAGCCCTTTGATCTTTGGGATTTTTGGTTTGAGTTTAATTTGGGGGATTTTTTGAGTGTTTTATCACCATTATTGTAGGCTTTTTTCCTACTTTTAAGAGAAATATGCTCTCCTTGTAGGAAATTGATTTTAGAATATCGCACAGTTGAAGGTAGTATTCAGCAGAATTACACTGTGAAATATTTTAGACTCAACACTACAGAGATCTTGAAATGGGAAAAAAGCTGTGGTATTATCTTCTGTATATACACACTTACTTGGTCATAAAATTCTAATGCTTTTTGTCTGTTGCTAAATCTGCTTATTTATCTCTCATTTAGTATTTGAAAAATACACAGCTGTGTACAATTAACTGTGTTTGAGCTACAGTAAAGAAAAATCAGAGTATTCTTCCAATTTTCTTAAGTGAGGTAATGTCTGCAATTCACCAGCACCATTTTATGAATGAGTGCTAATTATTTTCACAGATTGTTAATAAAAAGGATCTCTTTAACACAGTTTTGGTTTTTTTTTGTTGCTATCAGTCTTTAAAAAATGATGAAGCATCAACCAAAAGTGATGTACAGAAACTTCTGGAACTGGGCCAAAACCAAAGGTAAGACCCTCACTCCCTTCCTTCCTTCTCTTTCCATTTCCTGACTAAAAGCTGTCAGACCAGCAAATTCCATCTTTCCTTGTGCTAGAGAGATACACACTGTTGTATTCCAGAGTCTGCTAATTGTAACAGTACAATAAAGGCAGGAAATACTCTTTTTGAAACAAATGAGGGATTTGCTGATATTGGACATACAGTAGGAAAATGTATGGTGGAATATCTGCCAAAAAAGGCATTTTGAATTTTAAAGGAAGATTTAGTCATGAAGTATTCCTTAAAAAATAAATTCAGGCTTTTTAGAAAATTAAATAACTAAAGTGTCTAAATCCCTAAGTTTGGAGATGGTGACATTTATTCAAACATTTTAATTAAATGTTTATGTGTGTAGACACTCAAAATCACTAGTCCATGGGCAAACAGGAGTACTTCCACTGGATATTTGTGATGAGTGGAGTTAGAAAGAGAAAGAAGTATTAATGATTTCAAATTATTCATTGAGCACCTGAAAAATCAGTTCCCATCAGTGGGAATGCAAGTTCCCAGCCTAGTCCTTAGTCTCAGTTTCCCCAGTGCTTCCTTTGCAAGTAAGTCTCATCATTCTGTGTCTCTATATTCTTGAAATTCAGCCCAGCAAAGAGCAACATCAATACAATTTCAGTAACCAGAAAACATAACTAATAGAGTGACCACTTTTGCTGGAAAAATAGTATATAATGAGTGCATCTATACTTCATATTTCTCCCTAGGAAAAATGTTTAGTAAGAAAAATTAAGTTCATACTTCCTTTATTGTTAAAAATGCAATAATTAAATTCCATGGCTTTCTTAGCTCTGCATTCACTGTAGAAGTACCCATGGAAGTACATATGGAATTGCACTGCTGCATAGAAACCTTGTGAGAAAATTACCTTCATCTCTTAAATACCCAATATATAAGGTCTGCAATACAGTACCAGTAGAATTTCTTATTTTTACTGTGATACATAGCAATCTTTCAGGTGTTCCAGACAAATATATTAAATCATAGAGGAAAGACTTTAGCTGCTGTCCTATTTAAATACTTATGTGGCTGTGATGTGACTGAAGGTGTACATCTCAGCACAGAAAAAATCCTTCATCATGCATGAATGCAGTTTGGTGGTAGTTTGATTGTTGTGCAGCTGTCTTTTATGAAATTGAGACATGAATTGATTAAAAGTATTAATGGACTGTTTAGTCAATAGATCTTAGTTGCAGGTGAGAAAATTGAGTCTGCTAAAAGAGAATTTTATTACATATTTCAAATATTCTTTCTGATCTCCTCTGTAAATCACCACTTGCAGTCTCTCAAGTTCCACCCAAAAATACATGTTGGCTTTTGCTTCTTTTGCATCCAGACACTGAGTGTTCTGCACAAGAGCAGTGTCCAGAAATAAATGTGGACCAGTGCAATCTACTGCTGAGCAGCCCACTCCATCATTCAGAAAATGAAATGTTTTTACAGTATGCTACAAGGAAATGCTTTGGGGCCACTAGTGTTGCCAGCAGTTAACAGATTTACTGGATTTAATTTCCAGAGAGGTGTAAAAGTTCAACATATGAAAGAGGTATTGAAAATGTGCCAGGGAATCTTCCTCATAGAATTTCACTAGAGAAAAGTCACAGTTTATTTGCCAGGCTCCTCAGGCTTCCTTTTATCTGCAGTAAATGAAGAAAAGTGATAGGTATTATGCTTAAATCTATTTCATTAAAGCCAAAATTCAAAATATATCCCAGTATTAATGTTATGATCTGTCTTTGAACAAACATGAGCTGCAAACTTGGTCTGAGTGTGACTTTGAATTTATTCTACAATGCTGGATGATGCAGTAAAGTTTAGAGTACGAGAATTTCAGCTTTTGTAAGTAAATGTTCTGCTGACTTCAAAATATATTTTTTTAAATTCATTTTGTGCAAATTCTTCAATAATTCCAAAGTTGCACGTAAAACTCGATCACTGACTGTGATGCCCCCAGTTTTATTCTATCTCTGTATCACAAACACTGTGAAATGGTGGCATCTGTTAGTGCTGATGGTATATTGTTTTCATGCTGCTCAATCACTTTTTCAGTTAAATCTGTTCTGTACTAGTGTTGCCAAAATTGCTGAAAGTAGTAGGGGTTATCAGCTAAAAAAAGAGATGATCCAGCAGGTAGCAACTTCTTTTAAAATTATGTGGTTCCCATTCAGTTTAATTTTCCCAGGGCTAAAATGTTATATGCTACTGTCTGTAAATCCAGTTTTGGCTTGATCTTCATTGAGAGTTCATCCATGCAAGCAGCAATCCTCCAAAAGCTCTACAGCTGTCATGAAATGTGTCATTTTACCTCTTTGCTGCATCTCCAAAGTGTGCCACATGCTGCGGGTAGAAAACTCACGCAATTTGGAGAAAGTCTCTGACTGAATCAGTAATGCAAAGGTTTTTCACTTGATTCAAATAAAGCAATTATCCTGTTCTTTCTTTTTGTGCCAGAATCTTCTACTGGACTTTTTGTTGTTTGTCCCTAGGAAGTGCCATATGAGGTTGAATTTCATCGGAGCATGATTTATTTGTTTATTTTAAAGCAGGTATAAACTAGTTCTTATTAGTAATAGTATGTCTGGATGTCAGTGGATTTTCTCTTGCCCGCTTTCCTCACTTTTTTGGTGCCAGTCATTTTTGTTAGAAATTATGCACTGGCAGATGTTTTGCACAGCAGGCCATTCAGCAGATATCAAGAGTGGCTACTTTGCATCATAGATAATTTTTGTTTTGCACTGGCACAATACTTCATGGAATCCTTATGATTTAATTTGTGAGACTCCTAGACAAATACATCTGTTTGCTACTCTGAGTAATTAAAGGTCCATTTTTGAATCTGAGTAAGTGTTTCCTAATGGTCACTTGTGTTGAAGTTTGTGTTCTGTGTTTTCAATAACCTAGGGAAATGAAATCTCTCCAGGAGGCTTTTCAAAAGCAGCTTAATGAGGCAGCTGAGAAAGCAGAGAAGCAGCAGGCTACCGTGAGTGGTTCTCTTTCTTTCCTTTTTTTTTGGATTTTTTCCTGTTTTATCTTAATCTTGCCTGGAGAATTTATCAGCTCAAAAAATTTTGTAAAAAAAGAATGGATTTCACATCTGTGTTAGTACTCTGCAAGCTTCAGAAGAAAGGCCCTGGAAAAAGTTGTAATGTTCTGAAATACTAGGATTCCTGTCTTCCCTTATTTCTGTGGAATTAGGGATGTTTTTACACTTTTGGAGACTTTAGACAGGAAATTTAGGCCTAAGTCCTCTCCCTGGTGAGATGACCTTTATGGACCCTCATGTCTCATCTATACTAATATAGACTGTCATACATCTATTGACTTTTTAGGAATTACTATGGTTTTTCAGCAACAAAATGGATAGTAGAGTGTCTAATTTTGACCATAGTAGAACTCATTATCACTCTGGAAGGTATTATTAAGTCCCATTAAGATTTCATGCTTTATTGAAATTCTGTTTCTGGACAAACTGCACAATTGTTTTGACTTTCATGTAGCAGTGTAATGTTTTAGAGCATAAATAGACACATTTTGCTACTGTAGGGAAAAAAAGCGTAGAATCGTATTTACTAAGATGAAAGAAGGAAATTTTTCATATGTTGGTTATTAACATTCCTGTAACATGGACACAACTGAACATAAGTTGACTAGATAATCTCCAGAGGTCCCTTCAAACCTTAAGTGTTTTATGATTTGTACTCTGGATTTGAAAACAACCTGCTTGAAGTGTTTATACATCTATTTTCTAATTCATATTGGATAACTACTGGTTTATTTACTAAGATTTTGCTGTGTTCCAGAGTTAATGTAACACAGCTAATTGTTAATGTATAGCAATTTCAGAACATATTAGTTGAAAGTTGACATTTTTTATATAGTCTGTATAGCAATTTCAGAACATACTGGTTGAAAGCTGACATTTTTTCAGGTGCGTTGAACGTGTTCCTATTGACTTTATCAGCACAATGAATTCTAGTCCTACAAATGGAAGGTGGAAAACATATTTCATTATTGAATCTCTTGATTAGATTTTGATACTCAAGACTAATTCAGGTGTGGATTACATAAACCTCAGATATAGTGAATGGATTTGCTGGTGTTTGTAATATAGTGTTTTGTTGTTTTTCTTATTTTTAATTTGAGCAGCAGTGCCTTGTGTACATTCAGTCCCACTCCAGCACTTTGAAGAGCACAAGATTTGTTCTGCACAAAACAATATCTGCCATTAACTGTGAGCAAAATATCACCTGGTGTAGAAACCAGGAAAAGCTCCTCTGAGTGTGTAACAGCATCTGGCTTGGAGTCATGGCTTAAAGAATCTGAATTCTCGAGCTGCATTGCAGTACTTGACACTAATAGCATATTAAACTTGCTAATAATTCCAAGGAAATCAGAGCCGTGTCCTTGGTTTGTGATTTACTTCTCTGTGCCTCAGAGTACAATGTACATAGTGAAGCTCAGCAGTACAGTGAGACTGAATGAATATTCAAAAAGTACCTCAGGATCCTCAGATGAAAATTGCAATAGAAATGGAGACAGATATTATTCCTGACACACAAGGTTATTTTATACCTGGTTTCTCTGAAAACAATGTGAAATCTGTGAAAGAAGGTTCAAGTGCTTTAATGCAAGACTAGTGAGAGAATAGGAGCTTGAATTTAATTTTAATTTAATTAATTGCGAAACTTGTTTAAGCACAATTTATATTATAGGACTTGGTGAAATAAATCTCGATTTTCATCAGAGTAGGTGAAAGTAGAGTTACATTTCACAAAGTGATAAAGCATTGGTGGGAGGGAGGAAGATGGAAATACATTTTTCTGCATTTGTGCAGGAGGCATAATACAATGCTTGCTGTATGTATGGCTGTATAAATTTAACACCTAGCACCTGCCTGAAGGTGTTCTTTGTTATGTCAGTGTGAAAGTTTAAGTAAGAATTCTCAAGAATTAAGTCAAATTAAATGAAAAATAACTGGGAAATTACTCAAGGACTTTGACCAAAGCAGAAGAAAAAAGGAGTCTCAACAGCTCTACATTAGATTTTGCATTCATATCTTCTTGTGCAATGTGTGGCAAGGCTTCTCTACAAATCATCTCACTCTATGACTGTAGATTATTTTTCTATCTAAAAGCATTTCAGAAGGACCATACTGGGTTTAGTTATACAATATGCATATAAAATATGTATGACATCATTCCAAATAACTGATGTCCTCTTTAACAATCATTAAAGGTTGAAAAAGTTTTTTTTGTTCTGTATTTAGCATCAAATACCTAAGCAATTTGTATTAAGTTTTCATGCAGTGAAAAAAGTATTTGTAATGTCAAGCTATTATCTCTAAATGTGAAGTGGAGGCACTTCTTCCAGAAACAGTTGGAGATCATGGACTGATTTTCACTTTTGTTAACAAAAAGGCACAGAGCAAGTGGCACATGTAACTTCAGTCTGGTTTTGTTTGTTTGGGGTTTTTCAATGAATTTGAATAAATAAAGTATTGATTCTGTGTGTCTTCATTAGGTTAAAAGGCTCTCAGGGCTTTTGGGAGGCTGACTACATGCTAATGTATGCATGTTAAGAAATAGTTACATTTTTAGCAAGTTTGAAAACTTATTTCCCATTAACTGCAGCTAAAGTTTATGTAAAGAGCTGGCTGGCTCTGGATGAGGGAGAAGATAAAGAAATATGGAAACGCTCAAAAAAAAGTTGAGCTAAGTAGAGTAAGTTTTTTCTGTGATTTCTATTTTATTCTGTTTGTGTTTTATATCATGCTAGCAGTTTTAAAGAAGATATGCGAATGGATTGTTTGGCAGTGCAGTTACAGTACTGTCTGTCAAAATAAAGGAGAAAATTTGTCTGTGTAATTTCCTTTTTTGCTCAGTGTTCATTATGAGAAATTAGAATTAGGTAACACTTTATTTATAACTTACATAAAGGAACCATAAACAATATGGGCATTTTTAAATCAGTAGGGTTTTTCTAGTAAAAAAATGTTAACAGAATATAGTGAATTTGATTCAGCATTATCCCCATACATGGAAGATTTTTAGTAAAAAGATCTGATGTTCTTTTCCCTTCAAAACATATTTGTTTTTTTCTGATAAAAGCCTTTATGACTATTCATAAAGTCCTAAATGTTCCTTTGTTAAAAGTTTAATTTACTAATCAAACTGTAACTTGCAGCTTAAAAGTTACACTCATCTTAGAAAGACTAATAGGTGAAATCTATTTAGCTTTGCTTTTAAAAGTATTTAGCGCTCTGTAGAACACTTTTTGCCCAAAGGAAAGAATAATTTCTATGTTTTACATAATAGCCTAGACAGTTCTCTCTGGCTTTGAAGTCAATTTTTACAATATATCTTGAAAAGTAGACAAGGAAAATGAGCACTGAATATGTTAAGGTTTCCAGATATGGCCAAAATAGTCAGGTGTTAATGAATGAATTTCAGTTAAACCTTAACTGCTCATTTTAATCCTGAGCAAGACACAAGAAGTCTGGAAGAAAGCAAATTTAATTACAGCTGAGTCTTGACTGTGCAGTAATGATGTTATATTGAGATTTTACTATCCTGTCATGAATAACTACTATTGTCTGCCTCTTATAATTAGATCACTGCCATCTGCTAAAGCATTCTCTATTTTGATGGGGGAAAATTTAATTTAAACATTTCAAGGTCACCAACTGTTGTGAGTAAAGGCCACTGGATGGAAACTGTTGTTTTTAATAAACATAATGAGCCCTGAAACACACAAAGCTCTGAGTACCTTGGGTGACTGCTCCAGGATATGGAAGCTGTGTCCTTGCTTAGTACTGAAAAGTTCAGCCTTAGAACAATCTGTTTTCATTACATACTCTCATAATTGCAGCCAGGTAGCAATTAAAGGCAGACAACATGTGGAAAGAGGTGAATGTTGGTTTCTTTTGCTATTAATTTAGAGCTGGGTACAAATGTCTATTGTTGTTTATTATGCTATCAGGATTTGATGACTGAAAGGAGTATTTTTACATCTCTTCTGGAAAATTGTATTATGTCCTGTCCTTGAGATTTACTACAAGCATCATGCAGATGGTGTGACACAGATTGATCTGCCTTAAAGCATGGAGCTGTAGATACATTGGTACACCGAAATGGAGAGTAAAATTATCCCTTTAATGCCTCTGGTAGACAAGTCATATAAATCCCTCCTATGTAACTCTCCATATCTGTGCTGAGTGGCTCTTCATTTGTTACAGACTTAGTAGAAGACCCTTAAAATGCTTTTATAATCTAAAGGCAAAAATTAATGATTTCCTAAATAATACTCCTCTTGTTTTCAAAAAGGACGTGATGCAAAAATATTTTTAGTGTTTTAATTTGCTAATTTTAGTTTTTTTCAGCTAAGCTAAAAGGGTAGGTTTGCATTATGTAAGGTGTCCATATCAGTGATATATGGATGCATGTGTATGTGAATAGTAATAACAAAAATTAACCAACGTAGATTAGTGGATACATTTATAGTACTGGACTGTCTTAAATGCCTCTTCCCTAGAAGATCCAAGCTATGTAGAGATAATAATTTTGGTATCACATCTCTTTAATTATTTCATATATATTTATAGCTAGAAGTGAAGTGCCTTGAAGGAATATTACTATTCCTGAGAGATAGATGTAAGAAAGGGAGCACTCTTTAATGGAGGTCAGTATATTTATTTTTTTTTTCCCAGTATTTAAGGGTAGGTAGCTGGCAATTCCTTTGAACAGCTGAAAAAGCAAAGTAACCACAATAAATAGCTGTATTGTGCTCCTCCCCATTCATCTTGATCTGATATTTTGATTATGACCTTTATTTTTTTGTTCTGAAAAATGTTCCTATTTATTATCTAGACGCATTTTAAATTTCAGTATTTGTGGATGTCATTAGTAGGCAGGTGCTGAATAAAGCATCCTTCTCTGCCAGTAGGTGGATGTGAAATGAAAATTTCCACAATCAAAGCACTTAGACAGAACTTTGGCAGAGTTTGTAAGAGAAGTTCTGCTTATGTATGTCAGGTTTCTGGTTTCATGGACTGTCTGCAGGGATGATAGCATTGTCTGACCTGGCTTTTGGTACAGGTGAGAGTGCTGTCAGCTCAGTGATGGTTTTTAAATTACTGACACATCTGCTTGAGTGTGAACATGATACAAGGGCAGCTGTCATATCATGTCGATTCAGTATTCATTTTTTTATGTCCTTGACACCCAAACCATTAACGTTTTGGTCAATGTCTCTGTAATCTGAATCTGTTTTCTTACAGGATTTTGTTTTTATGATGCATTGTCAGAACAGCTGTAGTTTCCCTTGACCCTGGGTAGAGTTTGTATCAACAGCATGGCACATAGGGTAAATGGGGAGGAGTATTTTGCTAATTAAACAATACAGAAATGTGTTCCTTTAATCCCAGTTGTTTATAATCATGTCCTCCTTCCCCCATTGTATTCCATCAGCTGTGATTAAAGCTCAGTCCTGAAAAAACGCTTTTGTAAAAATAATTTTTTAAACTGTGTTTGATTACGTTCAGTCTCAAGCCTTGTGACTGGAATTTCTACTTTCCAAGTCAAGCCTTTGACTTAAGTAGGATCTAAAGACCATATTTGAATGCTTTCATGTATGACACACTTTATTCCATGGGTGGCTCTGACTAGAAGAAAGATCTTTATCTAATTAGGACCAGCACTGTATCATTCAAATAAAATAACTGTGTTAGAAACCTGCTCTGATAGATAGGTTCTTAGAGGGGAAAATGTTTTTGTTAGAAAATCAGTTAATATTGTTTTAAAAATCTTCAGTTCTCTGATGATCAATTTGAACTACTATTGTGAAAAATAGGCACTATGTCTACTGGTACAAAGCAAAAGTAAACCTATTTACATACAGCAATTTTCTTGTTTTGGTTTTAAGTTTTCTAGGTAATATGCCAAATGTTTGTAGATTTATCAAATACTTGACTGTGGCCTATACCAGTTGGGTATGTAAGCAAAGCTTTTTGATTTGGTGGTTGTTTTTTTTTCCAAAACTTTTAAAAGCATAAAAAAAAATTAGTGTTTACAATTGCATCTCAACAACTCCCACTCAATATTTCTTTAAAACTGTAGATTAACTTTTTGAAGACTGAAATGGAAAGGAAGAGCAAAATGATACGAGACCTCCAAAACGAGGTAAGGGGAGCACTTGATTGTCATCTCAATTCAGGTTTCATGTTGGAAGAGAGTCTGGTTTGGCTTCATATGTAAAGCATGTTATTGTAGTGGGCAAAAAATGCACCAGTGAAATTCTCTGAACAGAAAAGCAGACAAAAATAGCTGTGTTCATTTAGAAATAGTCTTTTATTGAATGCAGTGATTGACTCCATGCTAGTGGTGCTTAGTTTGATAGCAAACTTCTGTTACTTTTGCTGCTTTTTCAGAAAGGAAGTTCTGTAGGTTGTTGACACACAGTGAAATTTTGTTCTTATTGCTTATTTTAGCAAGAGGAGGAGAAGGGAAATGCAGCATCAGAACTGAGATTCTTAATGAAATTTTTAAAAAACTCAAACTCCTACATTGTTTTTTTTAAGCTTTGTGTGCCATGGATATTAATCCTGGATTGATCCCAAAATTCCAAATGAAATATGTAACATGTTTTAAATAATGTTTATTGGTATTAAACTGAATTTACTCTGAAATTTGGTTATTAATTTAATTAAATTAATTTTTTACAGTAGTCAGGAGGGGGGCATGGCCAGACCATAATGTTATTGGATACCATCTCACAAAGGTACTGGGGTACTGACCTGGGAGCCTTTAAATTCTAATAAATCCTATCAGTCTCATCCTATTGAGCAGTCATTAAAAAATCTGTTCTCTTACTGAACACAAATACATCATTAATCAACATTCAGACTGTCTGACTCTTAGTGATTTGCTTGGGTAGGTCAGTAGACTTTTCCAATATTTACTGTATTTATAGCAAATTTTAGAAAATCGGCTTTGAAAGGAATCTTTCTTTTGGCACCAAATATCAGCTACTGTGTGGAAAAGAAACCAAAAGCTATACCTGCCTAATGGCCTTCTATTAAATTTTTATACAATGTTTGTTAGTTCCCTGAAAGTAGCTACTTATATCAGCTTTTTGGAAACTTGACTGAATTTAAATTCTGTGATTTTGAGGAAATGTTATGTTATTTAGGTCCTGCCTCCAAACACTGAACACATTGCTTTTAAAAATCTCATAAATTTGGATGTGCTATATATTTAAATAATTGATAGCATTTTATGGGTAGGTTTTGAAACAATAATCTGCATACAGCTATATAGAGATAGATAATGAAAATGCTTCCTTCATAGCTGCTCTTGTTCTTTCAAATATTGCATTCACCCTCACTTTATATTGCCAAATTGTGAATTTTGCAGTCTCAGGCTCTTCTGTGACTGTAAAAATAATTTCCTATTTATTTCTGTTTATTTCCTCTTCAGTTCTGCCCTTTCAGCACATACCCAGGTGCCATTCAGCTTTGCCTTTTGGAGATGCAAATAGAAGGCAGCAGCTGCCATGTAGTGTATGAGGAGAGGACATTGCACAGAAAGGCAATTTTTAGCCTATTCAAAGCTTTGGGGGAAAAAATAAACAGAAAAAAAATGTCTGTGCTATTGAGGAAAAAATGTGCCAGGTAGAGCACAAAGGGATTAGGTGTCTCAAAATAATCTGGGTCTTAGAAGTCTTTAAGTGCTTCCTGCAAATACCACAAAATAGGTGTCAGACTTGCAGCTGTAACATCATGGGGATTGTGTTAATTTAAAGGATTGGCATGTAGACAGATACACTCTTATTTCAAGCAATTTCTCTTATTGACAAAGAAACCCAGAAGTTTGGAAATGCAGAAGCACCAGTAGAACTAAGAAGCTTGCAAAAATGTGGACTAAAATAGAATATGTATAAAAAGAGATACTTTAGATTTTTCACTTGTGTAGATGGCCTGCTATAGAGTGAGCAGCTCACTTCTAGCATATCATGTGGTTTGTGGGAAATTGTGCCTGTATTGGGTCTGATAGTTGCTCATATTTGCCAGGAATATAAGCCTGTAAATGTTTCTATTTAAATCTTAAACTGCTGGGATTTTGGAATTACACAGCTTTATCATCAGTGGGGTTTTGGATTTTGAGAAATAATTATGGATAATGAGGCATGCAGCTGTTGAGCAGTAAGTTCATTAAAAGACTGCTTCTCTGAAAATTCAGCTGCTTTCAGAAATCTTGAAATACACTTTGCAGATAAAAATATGCCACTTTTAAATAATATGCATAGTCAGCTGTAGCTTAAAGAAGCATTCATGAGAAATACACCTGCTATGACCCAGACCCAGACCTTTACAATAGTTCTGAAAAGTATGTAAGCATGAAAGTTATGAAATTTCCTGGCTAGATGCATTACTTGGATTGTCTGCCTGTGACTGACAGAACAATATTCAATTTGATATCATTGGATTGGATAAATTGCATTTTTATATCCCTTCTTTTCCAAGGAAGTATTAACTAGAATGTAGTACTGTGAATGTGGATTCTGTTTATTGAATCCTTATGGGTTTGAGCAGTTTAAAAGATGTTCACACTGCAGAGAAATCTTCACCCCTGACTGTCAGTTATGGGATAATATGAGTGAGTAGTGGAAAAATAGTTACTATGAAGAGTTAATTTTTAAGGGTTTGTTATTTTCCCTGAAAATGAGAAGAAATACATTTAGAACTCCTACATGAAAAACCATATTGAGTTGGCAGAATGCTATCAGGTAACTAACTTTCTACTGGTTTTATTAATTGCAGTTTTAAATGATAAAATTTAGCAGAAACACCCCTTGATTTGATCATGAAGGTCAAGGAGGAGACCTTGGCCCTATTACTCAGTGGTTAAAATGATTTACAGAAAATGATACTGAGCTGTGGAGTTGACACCAAGCAAGGATTAGAGGCTTTTCCCTGCCCTTTTGTACCTCAGCTTATTAAACCTAAATTGCTTTTGGTTGCCAGTGTTCTGGGAAGGTCTCTATGGGCAGTCCTGTTCCTGTTGAAGCAAATTTTAATGCAAATGCCTTTAAGAATTCTATAAGAGGATACTGTGCCTTGATTAATCTCTCTTGTTTTCTTTGTATCTTTGTTGGTGACTTGAAGATGTTATCCAATTATAAAATTAAAATCACTATGGTCAAATAGTTAAAGAGTCCCCTAATATTTTAGTAGCACTTACTAATAAACTATTTTGGCTTTTTTGTCCCACTCTCAGAACAAAAGCCTCAAAAACAAGCTCTTGTCAGGAAACAAGCTTTGTGGTATGCACGCAGAAGAGGTAAGGAAGATCCCTGTCTATTCTAAAATCTAATGTACCCAGCAAGTTTGCAGCAAAGTGTTTTGTACTGAGGTTCTGGTGTATTTTACATATACACAAGAATATATATATATATACACACAAGAATACAAAATATATATGTGTGTATATAGACCAGAATACAGAATATATATAATGTTTATATGGTGAGCGTTCCTGAAGTGCTGTCATCCCAACTAATTTTTGTGACTTCACAAGAAGCAGCTCAAATGTATTAGAAAGCAAGCTTTTTTTTTTGTCAAGTTTTAGACAAATGAAATCATCTGGGTGTGCCTATGATATAACTAGAGATATATACATCTGTAACATACATAAAACTGATTTCATTTACGTGAACTCCATGTCTGCACCAAGCCAGGAATTGCCAAGGGCCCGTTTTGAAATTAACATTGAGACAGCAAAGATCTATTATTATTGATTCCCAGAATGTTTCATTATTTCAAGGGGAAAAGGGTCACTGTGAAACTGAAGGAGAGAAATCTGCCCTCTACTGAAGTGAGATAGATATCCAGTGATACAAAAGCCCTATTTTTGACAAATTCCTCAATACCTGCTCATACTCATGTGAGCATTCCCTTTATTTTTCTTTACATTAAAAAAAAAAGCCATTACATGTGAATCTGATTTACTCACATTACTTTAGTCTGGGTTTTTTGCATATATAATTTCTTTTAAGGTCATTGCACCTTGCCAGAACGAAACCAAAGCATAAAAAGTTTCCTCTGTACTAAAATTTTCCTAATGATTATTGAATGCATTTCCTTCATTAGAGTCTCTGCCTTTTAAGTTAGAGAACAGTACTTAGGAGGTCAAGTTTCTGATAAATTCTCAAAGGTAGGAAATAATAGGGTTAAGAGTATTTTTTTTAAGTCTTTCAAAATCTGTTGCCTTCCTTTATTCCCATTGTTGGTCTCAAACGTGTCACAGTGTAGGAGTACAGATGTTATTTTCTTCCCTTCTTTACTGCTTAAAAACCAGCAGTGTGTACAAATACCCTTCTTTTTTTGGTTTCATTCTGGCAAGGTGCTATGACCTTAAAAGAAATTATATGTGCAAAATTAAGAAAAATTAAGAAAATTAAGACTAAATTAATATGAGTAAATATTTTCTGTTCCCTGGCCAGTTGAGGAGGGAAGTGATGGAGTGGCTTTGGTGGGCACCTGGCACCCAGACAGGGTCAAACCACCACACCTAGCTGCAGAATATTTGAACCTTTGGTAATTAACTTGAAGATCTTTTCTCTGATTGTATCTCTTTTAATATTTGCATTTAAGAATGAAGCCTAAGGATAATTTAATGACTCTACTAAGAGATCCTGCCTCTCCCTTGAAGCACAGAAAATCCACAAAATAACCAAATTTTATCACAGAGAGTTGCAGGTCATACACATGCTTTTGACCTGCACTGAATGTATTTTGTATTTTTATGACTCTTAATTTCATCACAGGCTTCATATTTAGCAAATGAGTTACACCTTAATTGTAACTCTCAGATTCCTCTGCAGCCTGTTTGGATATCTTGTATATCACAGAAACTGTATAATTTATCAAACACAGCTCTCAGAATAATTCAAATTGGTGAACATTTTCTCATTGGTTTTTAGGTGATGTGGGATATATTCCATAGCTCAATTAATTTTATTGTCCAGGTCAGAGGACAGTGCTATTTAAATCTGATCTAGGTTCTGCTGTTCTCACAATTTAAAATGTTTTTTTAATATTTAAAATTAAAAAAAAAAAAAAACAAAAAACAAAACCTGATTTGATTATCCTCACTTTCAGTCAAAAAAGATTCAAGCCCAGCTGAAAGAGCTTCGTTATGGGAAAAAGGATTTGATTTTTAAGGTAAGTTGTATTTCACTATAGTTAGCTAAAGTATTAGGGTTAATATAGCATTGGAGTGAAGTAGGAATATGATAGCTGCCTTTATTATTGCAGTTCTAAGCTTGTTCTGAAAAGAGCTCAAAACACCAAGACAGACTTAATACCATAATGCATTTTCAGAAATATACTTTTATCTGTGGGTTTGTGCTCACAAAAAGCAAAATTTTAGGTTACTGGTGGTGAATAAAACCTGTTGCCCTATTCCATACATTCTGTAACATGTCTTTCATCTTTTAACTGAATGATGTAAAAATATTCTACAGATGCTTCTTGTTTTTCCTTTAATTAGCACTCCTCCATGGCATAGTCAAGTATTGTTAACATTTGAAGCAAATCTCTGTGTTTATGATAAACTTGAGCAATGTAATGTTCCTTAGGTCTGAAGATTTAAGAAAAATCTGTTGCTTAAACAATCTGAAAGAATAGTCTGTTCTAGCTAGCACATTTTAATAATGAATAAAACATTTTAAAGTGAAGGAGGGGAAGACAAGACATGAAGACATTGCTGAGGGGCATCAAGTCCTTGTTAGCACAGGGAGAAGTTAATCCCTGTTAAAAGGAAGAGGAGAGGGATGCAGCTCACCTGGCTGAAGGCTCTTAATGGTCCTTTTATATATTCCCAGCATAAAGATGGAGATGAAGCAGTCAGCTTCAAGGGGACTAGACCTAGAATTACTTACAAAGTCATTCTTGTCAATTTGAGTTCCAAATTCTTTCTCCTGGAAGTGTTTAACTCCCTCTGTGTGTGTCTGTTGTATATACAGTGCTGTAAATAGGTGAATATAGAGTAATGTAGGCCATTTAAAAGACAGTGTGATTTCTGTGCTTTTTTTTTTTGCCTTTTTTTTTTTTGTTTTTTCTTAATATTTACTTAAGTTTATTCCAAGGTTCTTCAGGGACATTTATTTCTGGTCTCCAAAAGACCAAAACCTGGGAAACAAATTTAGAGACAAAGATTAGGTATATTATAGATCTAGGCGTTTAAATTTTAACACCACCTAGCATTAACAGAAGTTACAAATCTTTCTGCAAATTCAGTATAACGGAGAGCTTGAGCAGAGGTAAAGATGGAAAATTCTAATCTTGCCTTGCTGTGAAGGTTTGTGTTCTTTGGCTGAAGCGCTCGGATTGCTCAGCACTATTACAGCCCATATTTTAACCAGGACCCTGCCTGATCAGAGAGAGGCTGCTAGGCTGGGGCAAGAACAGGTGATGTTTCATTTCTGATTGCTTTGATACTGGGAACATAACAGGTTTCATGTTAGCATTGTGGCTGTTTTATGAAGCTGTTCCTCTCTCTGATCAATGGGATGGACAGTCCTCCTGTCGGCACAGCACGAATGTTTGGGATGAAATCCTGGCTGCTGGCTTCTTTCACATTGCTGGACTTTTACCTCTTCCCCTTCCACTCCCTTCCCATGCCACTCAACTTTATTTTCTGTGTGGCTTACTGAGGATTTCAGGGAAGTCTGCTCTCCACAGAGATCTGAGCATTGCAGGGTGCTTGGAGCAGAAGGATGTAATCTGCAGGCTGTTCGATTTCTAAAGGGCGTGAGGGAAAGCTGCAGTTCATGTCCCTCAAAAGAATGCTTTCTCTGAAAGTGTCCATTCTGAAGATATATGTGAAATTAATAGGGAGGGATTGTTTGATTTTTATTTTACATAATTGACATCAAGAAGCTGTTTCTCAAATTCTGGTACCTGTTACTGTCAGTGGCTCTGGTCTGAGCTAGATCTCTGGGGATTAAGTGGGAGAGGAAAAGGAATGGGAAGAAGGCAGTTTTCTCCTTAACATTGCAGTGAATTGGTAGATGATATCTTCTTTATCATATCTTACTAACACTTCTTATGTTTTCAAAGTGTTTTAAAATCCACCTGATTAATTAGGGAGCATATATGTGTGTATGTTTATATTTTTAAACTCTCTGTATGTGATATAAAGCCATGGAACAGATAAGTAATGAGCATCAAAAAAATTAAATCATGCACCCAAGGTTATAGAGCTTGTCAGTATCTCTACAGAGAATATAATTTGAGTTTCTATCTCTTTTTCACATTTTAGTCCCTTAAAGCGTGCAGCATGTTATCCTTAAAGAATTGACCCAAGTTGAAATTTGCTTTGTATTATAATGAGAAAACCAAGAATTTATTAATAAATTGCCACTGAATGTTCCTAATTTTATCACTGCCTCTGTAAGTGGATACTTACTAGTTCTGAATGACACTACTGAGTTGCAGTAATTTAAATTATCATCCTAAACCCCTGATTCAGTGAAGTACTTCTAAGTTTAAGTGCTCTTCTAGATTGAGGTCTGAATTTATTTCAGGCATTACAGACCACTTCTTTCTAAAATTACTTCTTCTTTAACTGTCTTCCCATTTTTAGGCTATATTTTCCTGGAGGAAGTCTCATGATTTGCTAAAATAGGAAAGAATTAAAAATAGTTTGTGTTTTTGTCCATGAAATCCAAACGTGTATATATGATGGTAATCAGATATGAATAAAAATAAATCCAACAATGATTTCCAATGTCGGTTTGTACAAGTACCTTGTATTACTGAAATTCCTCTTGTAAATGTGAAAGGTGACCATGCTTCAGTGGTGTGGTTTGAGAATATCTTTGCTTTTTTCTAAGGCTTCTGCTACAGATTCAGACGTATTTGATCTACCACTTCTTCTCTTTTCCCTTTTGTTCAAATTCTAAGACAAAGTATCTTGATAGGCAGTTCTAGAAAAACAAGAAACAGTTCAAATGTGAGTAGCAATTAACAGCACCTGGCCTACCAATGTATTTAATCTTTGTTCCATGGTAGTTCATTTAGGCTCCCTAACAAAATCCTGAATTACAGCAGCAGTGGAACTGTTGAAATAGGAATTTAGCCTTGAGAGAAAAAAGCTTTCAGGAAAAAAAAATCAGATTATTCCGCAGATTTGGTACTGACATGTAAATAACTATCATTACTTTGAATGGTTCATCAAAGCACAATTTAATGCCAGAATGTTACTCTTACCTGGTATCAGTTGGACTGATACCACTGAGCCTTTTGCTCAGTGTTCTGTGAAATGAAATAAACATACATGAATGTTACAGAAGATTTTAGTCCATCAACATAGGACAGTTATATGAAAAATGAGATTAAGTCTTGGTAAATGAAGCATTCGGAAAACATTCATTAATGTATTTGAAACCTGTTCTTTGGATGAGTAACTTTTCACCATAAACCACAAATCTTTTCAGTCAGTGAAATCAGTCAGTGTTCAGTCTTTCAGACATTGTCTGTGGCCCTGTTTATTGTGAGTGATATTGTATCCCATGTTTAGGAAAAAATCCAAGAAACAACTGAATTCTAGCAATTTCTTATATCTTAGTAATTTTGCAAACTGAAATGGGAATTTTATCCAATTATTCTGCATGTACTAAATGTACACTCACCTAATCAGAATTTCAGAGAGAAAAGATAAATGGCTACTCCATTGTCCTTCTCTATGGCTCCCTTTTCAAACAGGGAAAACAATGACTAGGCTGGGTTTTTTGCAGGTACAACAGGAAAAGAATCCTTAGTCCTTTTGGTTGCATAGTAATGTGTTATTAATGACAAGGCTGAGAACTGCAGGAATCTGCTTCCCTGAAACAGAAAATTCTTGCAGGGAATGTATTTCCTTCAAGTGAACAGGCTGGGTTTACACACCTCATAAGGAAAGAGAGAGAAAATATTTGTCTTTATTTACTGAACATGTAAAAGCATCTTCTGAACCCCTGCACTCCATGTATGACACATACATTATATGGAGGCTGCTAGCCTGATCCTGACTTCAAACACAAATCTCCCAAAATGCTTTCCTGCTATGTAGCTGCACAGTCAGCTATTCTTGTGAATTTTCCTTTTACATTTCCAGGAAAAGACATGGAGAAAAAAAAAATCTGGAGTTACCTCCCTATATACTAGTAGGTAGTATAATTTCATAAGGTGTCTGCATGCAAGAATGTTTGGGTGTTTTCTAATTTGTCTGTTTATGCCCAAGTAGCTTAATGTTGGCATCTCAGTGTTTAAAACTACAAAATAATGTTCAAATTGCACTCAGAACTCAGACAAATGAACAAAAATATTAAAAGACATTTTAATACTTTCCAGAAGGATATTACAGCATAATATTAAATATTTCATAGTGTGGAATTAATTTTGCTATTGACATTGAGTTATTATAAACTTGCATTCACATCAATGGAGCACATTTGACCATAATTTCTTTTTTCCCCCTCAGGAAAAGCAAATCTGACCCAACCACATATATTACTTGTAAAATTTCTGTTCTTTGCTCTCTCACATGAAAAAATGCATTGGAGATTGCATCAGTTTCTTTTTCTTGACTCCCACAGGCACAACAGCTAACAGATCTGGAGCAGAAGCTATCAGTTGCAAAAGACAAATTGGAAAACGCAGCCCTTGACAAAGTAAGAAATGTCATGTAATGTAAGAGTGTTTACCTATGTCAGCTGGGGATGTTTTGGTGTAATTTGACAAAAACAAATGAAAGCCATGCAATTGTTTAGATGCATACTGATTGTACCTGAGAGTGATGCTACTGAAATCAGTGGAACTAATTATGATGCATGAAGTGAAGTACATCTGCAAAGTTATTTAAGAAGAGGATGGTCAAATTAGAAAAAAAAAATGTGACCCAAAAATATTTTGCACTGATTTTTAGTAGATTTAGATATTTATTGAACTATAGTTTGTGCTGACAATGGACTTAGTGTCTGTCATAGGATTATTTACCTATAATCAGTGCAAGATTATAGAGAACTTTGTTAAATTACATCCCTGGTTCCAGTAGTGTTTCCTTCACCTGTGCTTTCATGATGTTCATTTATAGATCTCCTATCAGCAAAGTAATACTGAATTATGCTATGCACAGGATGGAAACAAATTTACTTGTTCTTCTTTTACCTTTGGATTGGCAAAATTGGAATGGCTGTGGCCAAGGAAGAATGTGCACTGGATGGCAGGATTAAGGAATGAGAGGATGAGAAATTATCCAGAGAAATTTCTGGATGAGAGGAGAGTGATTTCAGATGGGTGCAATGTGCAGGAAGCACTAAGGGCAGATCAGACTGGATTGACTGAGTCCATATCATCATGCAAAATTAGGCAGTCTGCTACCTCTGCCCATTTATCCATAACAAATGGGGATTTATGCTGCCTGTGCAGTCACTGACTTGAAAAGTTAGAATTAAAGACATGTTACATTGAAAAGAAGTATGCTAGCATCTTCTGCCAGTTAGAAATTAAAGGGTCCCTGAGTCAAATGTGTCTGATTTTACCTAATCACATAAAAATCCTGCTTTGGACAGTCTTCTCCCATTGTCCCGTCTCGGCTGTTCATCCCATCAGTAAGAAAAAGCAGCAGCCACTCGTGAGTGTTTGGTTTAATAGAGATGGAGAAAAAGTAAGCGGTTGTGTTCATCCCAGCACATCCTAGAGCAGTGATGGTTTCCTGTTTTGCCCAGGAGTCCCAGCTGAAAGCCCTGAAGGAGACTGTGCAGCTCTGCCTGTCCTCTGTCGTGCACCAGCAGCCTCCCTCCGTGAGCCTGATCCCCCCCAAGCCAGCTGGGAGGCTGACGGCTTCCTCCAGCACTAAGGGCTCCAAAGCCCCCTCTCGGGTCACAGCCACCAAGGTATGATCTCTCTTGGCTGGGGTTTAATTTGAACATCTTGGAAAGTTTGCCCTCTAGGACCATCAAACTGAAACCAAGGAGGGTTTCAGATTCATTTACAGCCAAATTTCGAGGATCATTCCAGGACTCTTTCTGATGTCAATAAATTGGTTCTGTAGTTGGGAAGTAGATATATTTTACTGAGTAACAAAATTCTGTCACTTGGTAAATAGATAATGTCTATTATGACAAATCTACACTGAAGATGGATTTGCATTTAAAATAAATGAGGGTGCTGATTCATAGCATCCTTTACCGTCAGCCCTGAAAGTGAGTTTGTGGTAATACAGCACTAAGCAGTAATATGGGATTGCTTATCATGGCTTCTTTCAGTGGAAAAAAATATTTTATCCAAAACCATAAAATAATCTGGGACACCCAAATCAAAATTGCCAAAATGGATCAATGAACTTGACAATAGGGAATATTCCAGTCTTGCAAGATGAAAAGGGCAGTTTCAGAGAAAGCATGAGGAAAGAAAAAGATGAAAACTGGTTTTAGTCAATAAATTCAAACAGTATAATACAGTCAGGATTCACACTGATTAACAGCTGTCCTAGTAATTTTCATCTCCAGTGTTGCATTTTGCTCCTGAATTCAACTGATTGAATAGATAGATCTAGAAGAATGTGTAATTTCAGTGAAAAGGGATTTTTACAGAAGAATGACTGAAGGACACTTCAATGTCCTCCTTTCATTACAAAACTGAAATAAAAATAGGAATTGCTATCTCAGTGCCATTTGCAACTTATGTATGGCATCTGATGGTATTTACTGTTAGTGCATAGGCTGAAGCCAAAATTAGTAATCTATGTGTAATTAAAGTACAATTTCAGAAAGCAGAATATGATTATAAAACTGGATATCACATCACTGCTCTTAAAATTATGATTGCTGGTTTATTAATAACTGGTTTGCAGGAAGAAACCATCATTCCCAAAAATTATTACCTGTGGAAAAAAAGCACTGTATGAATTATTAGCAGCACATGGGTATGATAGAATCCATTTAGATTAAGCTCCCTGGGTCTGTGTTCTGCAGGATGGCAGACTTTTGTTTTGTGGTGGTGCAAGCTGAGCAGCACTCTGGGGTCTCAGGAGCCTGTTGTTCCTCATTAATGTGGCTGTAGAATTGTTTGTCTTGCTGTTCCTGTCCTTTATTTCAGGCTGGAAGTGTTCATGCCTCTGTCATGAGGGAAGTGCTGAAGGATGAGGGCCAGCTAGAGAATTTGGTCTAGGGTCAGAGCCTTTGGAGAATTTGGGGTCTCCTTGGTGTTACACATAGGGACATGAGAATACAGAATAAAGATTAGAATTAGATTTTTGATATTTGACTGAAATACAGAGAACTCCTGTCGCCCTGATTTTTTTAGATTTTCTAAGCCTTCTGATGTTTGCATTCTTGTAACAAACTTTCTCATGCACTTTATGTAAATAACTCATTGCTCTGCATTCTTTTATGGAGGAGGAGAAATTTAATGGACTGTTGGTTTGTCCAGTGTCATTGGAGAGGTGGCACTGTCACCCTCCAATCCACTTTTGGAAATCTATAAGTGTTGGAATCAGAAAATGAAAAGTCCCTTTTTACCTTGGAAAGAGCAGTGAGTCCGCGTCGTGTTGTTTTGTGTCCTATAGAGACAAATTCTTCCTTCTTTTTTTTTTTTCTTTTTTTCAATTATCATAATATATTTTGTGTTTAATGTACTTGGAAAAATGTGTCACTACTTCTGTGCTGTAGCCTTTGAGAAACCACCCTCTAGTCCTCTGTATCCAGAAGTGCTTGGATAAGTTAATCTGCCTGCTGATGGGCAATTCTCATGTTTCTCTGCACTTGGCATGTGCCATGAAAATGGCTGAAAGAATAATGGTCTGCAAACATTGACACCTCGTTGTTAAAGATCTGTGTATTATCTGTGATTATAAAACTAATGAAATCTGCTACTATGAAAGAAGTTGTTAAAGAATCATAGTCAGTCACCGTCTGCAGTTGAGCTGTATAGGTGGTTTTTTATTATGACACCCTTTCTGATATATCTTCTCCTTGGCTTTTTTTTCCCTTTGACAAACACAAATTAACTCTTAAATAAAGGTGCATTGCTCTCTTTTTCATTGTTATTAGATTTGCATAAATATTTTGATACAGCAGGCTAGTATTTGGGGGGGGAATATAAATGTGTGTGATTAATTAAATGTGTTTTCATACATACAAAGTGGGAATTTAAGATGATCAGCACTTACACATCTTGTCATGTCTGATAAGCAGCACTTTCACCTTCAGGCAACAAATGATAATTTGTCTGGTAAATATCTTAAAATTGTTGTCTTCCAGCCTAAAAATTACTTTCTAAAATGGCAAACTTACTTTAAACCCATGGAAGGATAAATCATACAGTGTATGATAGCTGTACCATGTGGGGGCAATTATCCCTGGGATGGGGTTGCTTCCTCATTAAAAAAAAAAAAAAAAAAACAAACCAAAAAAAGTTCCAAGTAAGTAGGTTGTATATTTGTATTCATCATTGGTAATTGTGACACCTGAGAGTTTGTTACAGATATTAAGCATAAGAACCTGGTGTAGAAAGGATTACTAGGAAAGAAAGTTGCCACATTTCTTGAAAAGAAAGTACTTGGGCATTTTGTTTTTTCTAGAGAATATGATATGAAAAAGAATAAATTAGGTTTATAAAACATGTGCAAAGCAGGGCATTATTAAGTGCCTGGATCAGTGCAAAATAAAGTTGTTGTTCTAGATAGTCCATTAATCTGGAAAATTGTGTAGTAATGAGAAATTATTACCTTTACATCAAGGAAAAGTAATCTTAAAGTGATCAAAAGGAGTATAAGTCTGAGGTCTGCTTTTTGACCTGTCTTCAATAAATTAATATTTGCAGAATAAGAATATAAAACACAGAATTTACCATGTTAACTGGCACTAATATTTCAATTCAAAGCCATTTTGCCTGTCGTGTACCTGTCATAACACAGCACTGGTGCCAAAAGTACACAGTGACAAATGGATTTAGGGCTCTGTGCATACAAGCTCAGTGACACAACTAAAATCAAGCATAACCAGAAGGCAGATCATTAATCCTTAACCGTGAGAGTTTTATCTTTCTGTGTTTTTATCTTTTCCTAAAGCAAAAACATTGTTCCATGTACTCCCCAAATTAATTTCTTGTTTATAAACACCCAAAATACACTGCAGGCTTTGTGTAGTTTGTGAGCTGCACTGTTCTAAGAGTGAAAATGCACTTGAATTTCAAACAGCAAACAACAGCACCCATTCCCATATTGTACATAGCATAGGTTGAAAGACAACCTGTGATGGCCCATCAGATTCCTTTTATCAATGGAGAAAATACAGGCTGAATGCAATGGGGCTGGATGATCTCAAAGGTCTTTTCCAACCTAGGTAATTCTGTAATTCGGGTTATTATTTGAAAATAGCTGTATGCTCACAGTTGGGGGTAAAAATAACATGTGACCTCACAGCTTTATCAGAAGGAAAATCTAACTGGCACAAAATATTATATATGTGGTTTTACATTAGATATATACTATAAGAAACACCTAGATATGGTTTGGTGCTGGACTTGCAGTATTAGGTGGTGGTTTGACTTGATCCTAGAGGTCCTTTCCTCCCCAGTTTTCCTGTGTTTGTGTCTGTGGCCAGCAGGAGCGTTGAGGGCAGTGTGTGGATTTGTGCTCCATTTAGGTCTGAGGAGTCAGCTGCTGGTTCCTCAGAATTTACCAATTTCTGTGGCCTCCAGCTTTGCTTCTGCCACAGTTAATGATGCCACCAAAACCCGCAGTTTCAGTGACCTGTGGATCATTGTGTTTAACCAGGGGATTAAAAATCTGTAATTAAAAAGAACAAAAAGGCAATTACTCAATGTAGAGTCAGACACATTCAATACTGTGCAGTAATGACATGCAATCATAGAATTTTTTCTTTCCTAATGCATTTACATTAGAAGAATAAAACGGCATTGAAAAATGATGCCATCAGTTGTTTTAGGAGTTAATTCCCAAGACAAAGGAACACGTGTCTCCTGTGATACTTACCTCAGAAGTGTCAGGTACTGGGTGTGTCTGTGAGGCTAATGGAGAAAGAATTTTGTTTTTAAATGGATAGAAGTTAATTTAATTGTAAACACATGCCTAGCGTGACTTATTTATTCGTGTAAGTCTCTCCTATTCTGGTTTTCATAGCTGCCTTTGGGCTAATAGAGTTTTATTCTCATTATGATCATCTGGATGGCAGCTATAATCCTGTATTAATGTTAATGGTGGTTCACAAGATTATGGCAACTCCTGCTCATATCTTTTATTTCTGAAATTTACATTAGATTATGTTTTTGCTGTTGCCTCATTCCACAGAACTTCTCCTACAGCCCTTTTTCTTCTGTTCCTAATTTTTAATAAAATTTTAATACATGCTGGAAAAATGTTTAACATCAGAGACCATGAAATTGAAACCTAAAGCTCTTTGGGTTTATTACTTACTCTACAGAAGTCTTCATTATTAGTATATTATATTGATAGTAAATTAGTTTTAGAGGGCTTTTTTTTCTTCAACTGAATACAATCCAGGGAAATGGAAACAAGTACCTGGTATCTCTTATTTAGTCTGTAAAAGCCCACCCCAACACACACATACACACAATTTCCTTCAAGTTTTAGTGGCATGATCTTTATCTTAATTTCTTTGACTATTTGACCTCACACCTCTTTGTTGCAGAGTGTAAGTGTAGCCCATCACCCCAGGGCGCAACTCTGAAATTAGCAATGTGCTAATGGGTTAAAGAGGTAACTGTTAATTGTTTATTGCTGCACGTTTTGTGGCTGTTAACTGCAGATCTGTTTGCCTGTAAATGAAAATTATTCGATATTCTCACTCCAAATACCCTTTTAAAATTAACTCTTTACCTCTTAGATGCTTCAATAAAGTCTCCCAGAATC